GGAATCAGGGCACTGAATGAGCAACTAAAACCAGTAACAACTGTGTTGGCAGAACTCCGTGTATCACAAAGCCTGTGTAACAGTGCTTAACACTGAATAAACACTTAAAATACACATGCAAGCTTGCCTGAGCGGCCAAAAACTGCAGTTTTAAAGGTGGGGGAGGAGAGAGCAAAAATTTTGGCTTATAGTGCTGCTGTGTTCACTGGAAAGCAAAAGAACATCAAGACATCACACAACAGGTAGGCTTTATTTGGACATATCTGCAGTTGTTTCCATTGCAGTTTTCGTCATGTTCCTGGATATTACTCTTTCTCTCTATCCATGAATATATGTATACACGTGCACACATAAAACATACTCTCAAAGGTGCTGATCTTTGCTTAAAAATTAAATGTTCCTTTTGTCACAGTCAAGATGATAGCAAAACGGATAAAAGCCAAAACCTGCTTATGTAGTAACATGTTACAAGATGTTTTTTGAAGTCTCCCATGTACAAAGAATTGGCAGAGCTGCTCCTCTGCGTCTTGTCTCAAGTCTGCAGGGTACCTTGCAGGAGGGTTGGTGCTGGCTCGAGTGCAAGTCTGTCTTGTGATGACAGGACACAGCCCCCAGGTATTCCTGGTAACATGACCATTGGAACACTGTGCCGTTATCTGGGAGCAACTAGCAGCCAAAGCGTACCTGCTGATCCAGTCTCAGCAGAGTGCACGTTCCTCCCGTCTCCAAGATGAGATTGTAAATGCATTTGTGGTTTTGGTGAAATATATCCGTATTCACTTCTGTGCCATAACATCAGGACTGACATTCAGCAGATAAAACTCACTTCCAAATGCATGATGTATCCTCAGGAAACGATTCAATCCCGATGTGAATCTCCTGGTTGCAGTTGGGAAGCACTTCACTTCGCATTCCCAGTGTGTTTTAAAGCTGCATTGGGTGGTGAGGGGCATTTTGTTTCAAGTTGCCTGCCTATGCTATCTGCTTACAGCTCGTTCTCCTTGCTCGACCATTTGTAATTTTTCTGGAATGGCTGGTTGGCTTCACCAAGCTGACTAGAGTCTCTCACCTGAACTGCACAAATTTGCTGCAAGTAACCTGGAGTACATTGAAAGGACACATGGTGGAACAGGACACATGGTGGAACACCACAGAAAATCATCATTGCTTTCAGTGGTCAATATAGAAACGTCTCCACTGCCTCCGAAGTCTTAATAGCAAATTAAAATGATGAGGTAGATTTTTTTACATTTTGTGGTGAAAATTTGCATTCTTGCTTTGCTTTAAACTTTCCTGGGGAATATGACTGATTTATATGTCACTTTGTTGCCTTTCCCCATAGCTGCTCTAGGATACGCTTTCCATGACTGGCCAGAGCGGAGTCTCTCTGGCTGGTGGCATGCTGGCTTGGCTTAGACGTTCTGCTCTAATGACCTGGCTATGGGAATTTACCTGTCTTGCCAGTGATGCTGCCTTGGGGACTCCACTGGTTTCGATATTCAGACAGTCCCTGAGAAACCACCTTGCCCTGTGCCTGGCCAAGGTCTGTCAGACACACGTCCATACAGCTTCACCTGGTGCGGTTTGGTTTTCTTCCTGTTTTGATGTGAAATGGGAGCACCTGGCACAAGAGATCCTGTTTTGCCTAAGACTCTCACAATGCTCGTACACGGCCTTACAAAGCTACCTACAAAGCAGACGTAAAAGGCGGCACTGTGATTTATGAAACAGGCAGCACACCTGCCTTAGAGCTTCCCACCTACAGGATTTTTTTTCTTTTAAGGCTTTCTTGGTTAACAGATGCTTCCTATTTGAGCTTGTGGATGCTTTTGGATGTGGTAGTCAAATCATGAACCCACGGTGTGAAATGTTCCTTTCAGTGCAGGTTATTTCCTTGTTCTGTTGCTGATTCTCACCAAGATGTAAATGCTTCATCAGTGGGTTCAGGGTGTTCTGGAGCAGAGCTCTTGCTCATTCCTTTGAAGCTGAGCAGTCCCATGAACGCATCTGAGCTTGAGTCTCTTCCAGCTGCTGCTTTAATGAATGTTTTATCCGAGCACTCACTGGACTAGAGACTGGAACTCAGGTTCCCCCATCCCTCTGCTATTCAGGGGCTACAGTATGTGGTCTTCCCAGCTGAGTGAATATTCCACCTGGTAAGCTCCAGGAAAATAATCTCATCAGGAGGAACTAAGCCACCTACTCTGATTATAGCAATTACCAAGGAAATGGTAATTAAGGTTCAAGTCTCCCTCAACAAAGGCAGGAATCTAAGACAGAGGTTCCTTGTCAAAGGTCATAGATTTAGCTACTGTGCTGCTAGAGATGGTGGATGGGAAACTAGCCTTAAAAGCTCTAAAAGCTGTTCTCAAAATATGCCGCTGAGACTGGGCCCTGCTGTGACATGGTTTAGTGAACGCTTTATACCTATGTACATATACCAGTTATGTTGCGTTATAAGAGCTTGAACAACCTCAGCAGCAGCAGATCCTGAGTACAAGGAGAAACGTTCTGGTAGAAGATGGTCCTGTCCCGTTAGTGGAACTGGGCTTGTGAAGATTTGTGGGTTAGATTTAGCAATCTACCAGAGCTGTTAGGTAAGAATTAGACAATACAACTTTTGCATTAAACTTGCACTGCTGATTCTTAAAAACATCTCACTAGGATGGGGGAAAAAAAAAAAAAAAAAAGGGGGTGTTTGCCAGCTAGGCCTCCCTAAGCACTCAGCTCATTTTGTTTGTTTCCATGAGTCATTTTTAGAACAGGCAACAATAACCTAACAATACTTGAGTCACACATAGTCTGGAGCCAACTTCTTAGAGCACACAGCTTTCTTGAGGAGAGTGAAAAATATCCTAAAAGGAACAGTGCCTCTCCAGCTTTCATACATAACAAGAAAATTATGTTTAAAAAAAAAGGGGTTGAAGTAATTGACTTTTGAGAACACAGAAAACAATCTTTCCTCTCTGCCCCTTCCATTTTGAGACCTAGAAAGGCATGGGACACAAAGGGGCTGTTGATTTAGGGCAAGGGAAAACTAAGTCCCCCTTGAACAAGCATGCAGTTGCTACCTGTGTGCTAATGTCTTCTGCTCCAGCACAGGTCAACACAAACGTGCAGGGAAATGAGACGGGGCCGGGGCCGGGGGAGCTCCCTTTATCAAGCTGTGAAGTGCAAGTTCGCTGTACATCTTCGGCTACTAACAGCTGCTCCTACAGAAACAGCCTTCCTGCTACAAAATACATCCAGTCCTGGCTTCTGCTTATCAGTAACACCTTCATTTCTGAAAATCAGGTGCCAAGAGATCTTCCTAAACCAGATGCTTTACAAATCCACTCACAGTTTCTTTCCTTCCTGTGCTCACAACTCCCCCAGTGCAATCCTGGCTGCACAGGGACTGACTCAGAGTTCCTCTGTGGAGAGGGAGCTTTTTCCGCCTGCTTTTCTCAAAAGCAGCTCAACTTCCAGGATGTGATAGTTTGTTGTGGGAAGGCCCCATCTCATCGCCTGGAAACAGAGTTATTAGGGAATATCTATTCCAAAACTAAGCAACAAAGGCTTCATCTGACCTCCCCAGATAGGAAGGGCTTCGGCTAAATGTTCTGTGCTGCTTACAGCACAGGGAGTTCCTCCTTCACCTAAAGGAATTGTTTGTTCTGAGGCTATAAACAGCTGGTTTGGATTTGCAAGAAGGAAAATATACTACACAAAGCGCTACGATAAATACAACTCTATGCAGCATGAACAGATTATTAAAAAGACCATTTTTATATAAGAATATACAGGTGACGGCTGAACAGTTCTGCTCTCAGTAAAGCACGGCTGGATTTTTTTTCAGCCATGAAAGACATTGAAATGCTAACTCTAAAGAGCCAAAACATCATTTTTGTTACCTCCGCTGAGAAGTGGCTAGTAGGAGAAATAAAATACCGTTGCCCCAAATGTGTTTATCTGTTCAAGCTAAGAAAGTTGCTGCATCCATATAAACAGAGGCGGAACGTTAAAACAAACCTCACTCAAAAGCACGGATGCAGGAGGCTCTTACAACAAAGACTTGGTGCACATGGTTGGTCTGTGCATTTGACAGCATTGGCTAAATAAGGCTATTTTCCTATATCAACAATTTTTCCTCTGATTTTATCTTCTACAGTGCAACAAAGAAGGAAACTTCCTTTCTAACACAAATACTGTAGGAGTGCCAGAAAGAAATTTACAATTTTTTCAACTTTTCAAAATTACCGTTTTTCTAGCTAAGCACAGACGATCCAGATTTTTCTGACCTGTTTTTTGCATTTCAAGCAGCAAGCTTTAATCTCAAGAGCATCACACTGAACTGATTATCTTTTTTCACCATATCAATTGAAAAGAACTGTTCTAAATCTTTCAGTAGTAGCAACTGCACCTTATGCTCATGTTTGCCCAGTGAAAAGCTGAGGCGAGTTAAGTTTCTCCCTGCCCAGCTGCTTCCACTTGGCTGGAATGAGTCTCTTAGCATTGTGTTTGGCCCTTAAAAGAAAACTGATGCAGATGAGTATCACTTTGCTTTGCACCACCATGGTTAGCAATTGCATTGAACAAATTGTTTGTGCGAAAGTACTTGACCCAACATATTATTAAATAACACAAGGACTAAGAAGTCATCAATCATGTCCAACACAACCTCACTTTCTTGCCCCCGTTTTACTGAAAACATGAACATAGCTGGCCACAACTGTAAACTTCAGCAAAGATGTAAACTTTGATACACTGGGGCCAGTTTGACAAACTAGGGAGAAGACTGCAAAGGTAATTTAATAGGGAATAGCAAAAGCACAGTGGAGAAGCATCTACTGAGAACATATTTGTTGTTTAAACAGTTGTTCTGCTTGTACAAGTAAACAAGGGCTTGGGAAGGAGTTAATTTAGCTACAGAAACATGTCTTTTGTAGCTACCTCTGGAAACAGGGGACAAGGAAAAGGTCTCAGTATAGACTATAAACCCATCACTGAAATCAAATATATAAACTGAATATATTAAAGCTTTGAATTTTATTACACTTAATTTCTTCTGAATATCTTACCCTTCTCTCCTGTTCAAGGTAAACCTAAACATGAGAAATGGAAGGATAAAGGAGAACTCCACTAAACGTGGAGTACATTTCATCAGAGTCTGTGTAGGCCAGTTTGCCTCCTGTTACAACAACGTTTACTTCATCTCCTGCTTTGAGGTGAAGAACAAGGTGGAACGTCCCAGGACCACCACAGGTCTGTTTCCCCGAGTAAGGTTTGTGGTACTCCAGCAGTTCCCTCCTGTACCCAGCTGTGTGGAGCTGAGCCACGCTTGCATTGGAGACGGACAGCACCGCTTCTACGTACTCATCCCTCTCTGGGGCCAGCACAGCTGTGATTAGGTAGCGTCCTTCATACGGTGATGTGAAAATGCCTGTGGAAGAGAGACAGGATGAGCTTTTCAGAGTTATTCAAAATGGAGAGACCTGAGCACTCTGAGCACGATGACAAGCAAAGTGACATGGGTTACCCGTCGCAATGAACAGATAACAGCCTGGGCAGCTGACTGACTGACTGACTGACAGCAGTCATGAAGGCAAAGGGTTTTTGCGTTTGTGTTAGAGCCCATGAGTCCTTCAAGACATAAGCAGGTTTCCACGTTTGGAAACCTCCTGGCCTGAGCATCTGCCATGAGCCCGAGCTGGGTGACGAGGCGAGAGGCACCCACGTGCTGTGCAAGTCCCCAGTAGGTTAAGGCACATCTAACACCCTCAAGTGACATGATACTCCGCTTGAGGAGGAGGCAACCGGCAGTTACTGTTACTGGAGGAGCAGTATCTATCACCTTCCTCCTTCCTCTCCCCTGGGGGACCCAGCTGGCTGAGCTGCAGTGAAGCAGGTTAGGAAGGAACCTCACCCCTGCTACCTGGACTGAGCTGGCCTGAGGTGGGGTGAGGGGCACAACCAGCTGTGCTGGCAGAGCAGAGGTAGTGGTGAGTTGGACCTCAGTATTACTGGGCAGCTGTGGAAAACCAGCAGTGGCTAAGTGCACACCTGTCCACATCCACAGGAAGCTTTCACCGCGGTGTGCCTGGTTTAGAGGGACTTATTTCACTTGTTCAGTGCACGAGCAAGGCCCGAGATAGCATCGAACGCTGGTAACCCATGCCACTGCCCGTCTGGCATCTCTGTGGGTCCGTTCTTTGGCTGTTACCTGTACTGGGGTTATAATAGTCCCCGTCGTTCACAAGCACTTTGTTGAAGTGAACCACGCCGACATCGCTAGAGAAAGGCTTCTGCGTGAGCCCAGCAGAAAACGACACCAGAGAGGCCGCAGCAGCAGCGGGTCCTAAAATGGGTAACAACATGAGTCAGAGTCGCATCAGGATGACAACACAGCCTCGCCCTGTGACGGTTTATAATCCAGTGTCTCTGTTCTTGCACATACTCCACTTGGACTAACTCCGTCACTTGAGGGATGCCAGAATTAAGCAGAATACGTATCGCTGGCCCAGGTGTCTCACCATAAAATTTACTGAGCACCATAAAACCCCCTCCTTGGCCACAGCCTCCTTTTTTTTTTTTCCTTCTAAGGAAAAGGTACATGGCTTGCAAATGCTGGCAGTGGAAATCCTGCCACCTCTCAATTCAACAATGCTTCTGCCACAGACCTTCTTCATGATTGAGGCTGCCCTTGGACATCTCCGCTCTCCGTCCCTACCACAGCAGCAACAGGAGTGAAAAGGTGTACAGCTCATGGCAGCTTTCCTAGTCACGCTGACAAGCTGTGCACGGCTTAGATCTCTTACCCTCACTGCTGAAGGGTAGTGAAAATAGCTATAAGAAGTAACGCTTTGGTATTAAAGCAAAGAGAATCCATCACTGGGGCTTTTCTCTCTTGCACTTCTCTTTTCACTCCATAATTTTGTCCTCTTTTTCTCAGCAGATCAAACAGACACAGGTATTTTACAGTGGTTACCTGCTTACTAGCTAAACACTTAGACTAAATACAATTTGGACAATTAAGACAAATTTTTACTTTTAACAGACTGACTTAATGGCAAGTGTTTTTAGTGATCAACCACTTGTTAGTCCCATTTTAGTTCCCTTCCCTCTCAATATTTCCCCTAAGGCAGGAACACTGCTAGAAGTAGTCAACTCTCGTTGCTTTGGTTGGGCAATTAGGTAAACAATGAATACACTTAAAGTTGTCTTCAGTTGCTCTTTCTGTTGTACCCTGTTCAGGTTAGGATCCCACGTCTTCTCCGTGCTGTTTCACCCCTATTCCTTCTTCCACCTTCCTTAAAATAAATGTTTGGTTTTCTCTTCCTCTCAATCTGAGATGCCAATCGGCAACCAATGTTCAATTCAGACTATATCCCTTAAAAATTGAAGTTAAAAAGTGATAAAACTTAATCTAATATATGGATATACACATTTTCTGGTATCTTTTTTTTTTTTTTCTGAATAACTTGGCATGTGGGGTGAGAGGGGAAGACATGCCTGCAACTTCAGAAATGGCAAATACCTTGATTTCCCTCAGGGGCTAGTAACCAGCTGCCTCATGTATCTTTGGAAATCCTCCCATTTGGTATTTTGTCTCATGCTCAGAAAACAGACAGAGGCCCTTTTTCATTAACCCCACCTGCCAGTGCGCCTGCAGGTACTCCTGTGGGCTAAGATGAAGTTATTTGAAGGGACCAAAATTAATTGCAGGCAGTCTACTTACTTAAGCAGCTTCTGTAATGCTTCACCACCTTAACATCACGCTACTTACAGAAAGCATCTCTTTGTATTCTCGGTTTACCCTGAGACTCAAATCAACTGGAAATGCACCTCAACTACTCATTGGCTCACTTGGAAAGGTTTCTCTCCCCTGCAGTCATACTGCACAAACAGCAGAAACTATTTGCCACCTGTCCAGAAACTCTGTCCTCTCCGTTTGCAGTAGCTACAATTCTGTTTGGGTTGGTGTCATCGGGATAAGGGAGCAACTCCTTCCCTGGCTCGCCAAGCTTCCTTCAAGATTTTCCTGCACTAATTGCTAGAATAGTTATTAGACTTTCATGCTGAAATTGCTTCAGATCTGCAGCCTAGTTTAGCACATCATCTGTGTTTGTCCAAAGGAGAAATCTTAAACCCCTCTAAATATCCTGTAGATCAGTTTAGCGGGCAATATAGAGAGGAAAGATGCAATGTGTCTATGCTCTCTTACCCTCCTTCCTGCTTCCAGCTGGAACTGTGCCTGTTTGAAGCTTCCAGAAGTCCTACCGACAGCTCTCAGCAGTGCTCTCACAGGATCTTACAGAGAGGTGAACCACCTTCTCTTACATGTCCCCACTTGCAAGCACTTTTCATGCAAAGACCAAAGTTCAGTTTCTCTAGGCAAAGCCCAGGCTTGGAAACTGCTTTCACTTAAGTAGTTAGTGTTGCGGAGTTAGAAAAATCAAGGAGAAAAGTTGCAAAGCATTTAAAAGTGGGGAACTGCACACACAGCTCTGATGAAGAAATGGCTAGGCAGACTAAAAAATTTCACAAAAGATTCAACCACAGTTTTGCAGCTTCTGAAGGAGGAAAAAACTCTTTGACTTCAGACATATTCAAGAAGGTTTCACTTGACTTGTATATACATAAGCAGGAGCAGGTATGCATGTTCATGGCAACCTAAGCTAGTACAATGCATTCTGGGGAGTCAAGAGACCACAGAAGATACATGGGTGGCCTTTGTTAGGTGACATCTACTTCCACCCATCTGCTAGTGGTATTTCTGGTTCTCCACCTCTCTTTTGACTTCCCAGCACAGTTCATGCCTCCCACAGAGCCCAAGGGCCAGAAGGAGAAAGAGAAGAAGAAAAAAAAAATCAAGCAAAACAAAACAGTGGACAGCATAGGCATTTTCTATCAAGATGAAAGGAGAAAAAAAATAGTGTGATGGTATTGCTGACAACTGCTCAGCAACTGGAATGAGGACTCTTCAAGAATCTACACAGAAGAGAGACCATAAGTATGTAATTCATTTGTCAGTATGCACTTATGACTCCTTTGCATATGGCAGGAGTAGGGAGGATGTATCAGATTTCCTCTGCTTGGCCAATGCTCCTAAACTAAATAAGGGCAAAGTGCATAATTTCAATTTGAGCAAACGGCACAAAAATATCAGCAATTTATCACATACCTGCTTTTTTTTTTTTTCTATTTAAACTCTTCAGTTTGACCCTAACATATCCAATTTTCAGGAACATTCCCTCTGCTTATGGGATGGCCATGCAGCACAGCACCACACTGATTTCCATGAGCCAGTGCTTAATGAAGCTGGGCCCATTAGCTCTGCTCTGCCAAGTGACAGTGTTTCTGATGCATATGATAATTCACTCAGTGCATTATGAAGACACAGCTACTTTTCTCCTGAGTCTGTTAGTAACATCTCTTTCTGCTCTTATAACTCTTACCTTTCACATGGCAGCAAGAGGAGGTTCGCCCCAGCACCTACCTACCACTCCTTACGCAAATAACCATCTCCTACCCCATCCTTCGGCACGCTGCTGTGAACTGTGCTGTTCTTGCATGCAAACAGCAGTAAAACACAACCCCTGGTACAAGAGCGGGTGATTACATGTTCTTTACCTCGAAGTCAGCAAACACGCTTTCCCCTGTGCTAGACCACCGACACGCACTAACGAGGACGCTGCTCCCTGTCCATAATCAAAAGAAAGAGCTAAACATGCAGCAGAACCCATCGCAAGCACGGCGGGGTAATTTATGCATTCAGTAAACTCTTTCTTCACAACAAGGACCACCTACAATATAAATCTTACGTTGCAATAAACCTCATGCCTTCAAATTTCAAACGTGTCCTACAGGCTTCCTGCCTGGAGTCACATGGAGAAAGTAAAGATGGTTGAGCTTCAGACAAGCGAGAAGAATTAAAAAGCCCAAACCAAAGTTAGCCCTTCATCTGCATGGACATCGAGAGCGGTGTTCCCACAGCGGTAAGGTTCCCTAGTTCAATTGTTTTCTTTATTACAACATTTCTTTTCGAGAGCAGGGGCCACCCTCCGTTGGAGCTGCAGGGTTAAGGACACAAGCAACACTGCAGACTGTATGAAGGGGGAGGATGGGGAAGCCAATTTGTGCTTTCAGTAAATTTTTTTCACTGTGGCGCTCTCTGTATGCTGATCAGAACGTCCAAATCCTCTTCTTGGCTCTGTCCTTGCCTAGTTGTATGACCTGGGGATTGTACAAGCATTTTCTCATCAGTTTCCCGAGCAGTTCATCAGCCAATTCATTACTTTTGCATTTTCCTTGCTCCAGCAAACAAAAATTCTCTTAACTGTAAAATTGCCATGCTTCAATAACACTTGCTGCTGTTGTTTCTTAAACAACACAATAACACTTGCTGCTGTTGTTTCTTTAAACAACAATTGGTTCCAGTCTTTCTATATTTAAAAGGATTAGGTGGATTCTCTTAGGTCCGACACTTAACTCACCTTTGTCATAAACTCCTTGCCTGTGAAAATAGAGCTAATATGTAATATTGTGCCACATGCTCTCTCATCCATACTTGTAAGTCGCTGAAGATCTTCACCTACAAAGTTATACTGCAAGATGCATGCGAACAGCAAGCTAATGAATCTGAACAACTCGGGAAATCCTTCAGTATTGGAAGTACTCAAATCGTACCTCAGCATTCAAGAGCGGTAAAGTGGGCTAGTTTAATCCCAGAGGACAGAGATGGAGCCCTCAACTCCTTCCTGAGCAGTGCTTTTATATAACAGAGGCTATTCGGAAATAGAAATGAAAGGGAGTGCTCAGAAGGCCAATTTAATAATACAAGCTTCTTATTTTAGGAGTTATAGTACGAGAAGGTCTGATCTTTCAATTTTGAATCTCAGTGCCACGAAACATACTGGGTGAGGACTGGCAAAGACAGCCTAAAACTGTGGTCCTCAACGAATCAGATATTAAGGATTCCTTGATGCCTTATTTAAGCACTAAGTTCCTCCTCCACTAAGCCAAAAATCTTCCCTTCCCCAGCTGTTAATTTCTACAACACTGTTCAAACTGCTGAATTCTGCCCCAGAATGCTCTCTTTGCTGTTTATAAGCAGACACTGACCATTAGTGGGTGGGGGACAGTGGATGTAGATGCTGTAACTCCACAGCTATTTGCACCGTACTTACCTCTCTGTTTTCTATGACTACCTGACACCAGGGTTTGCAAGGCATTTTTTGGGGAAACTACAGGACAGATCAATAGGTATGTCTTATAGTTTTGATAGGTCTTCAGGGGCATGGATCAGGAAAAGGAACTCCTTGGTCAAGCCCACCTCTCTTTGGATCCCAGGGCGCTATCGTCTCCTACATGTTCCACCAAGCAGCACACAGGCGCACTGCCTGCCACTCCCTGCCTTTTCAACACTTTTAACATCCACCTACTGTTTCACACGGTTTTAGCATAAACTTATTAAAATACTGCTGTCTATAAATGGCAATAGGCTGTACAAAGTGGAAGAAAAGCCCCAGGAAATCCATTTATCACAGAAATCTAGACATCGACATTGGCTTTGCTGGCATCAAGATAAACAAGCATTTCTTTACTTCTCATCCTCTTCCAGAAGCCTCATCTATTGCTGCTTGTTCTTACCACCACAATCCTCAAATGCAAAAAGATTGCTTTAAGGCTATGACAGATTTTTAATTAGAAAGTATAAATATCAGAATTACAGTGTGATCTCTTTACAACTCTTTTTATCCGTCCCCAGACCAGTCTTCATGATGTGTATCTGTGATTTTGTCAGGGCCATCAAACTAAGTCCCAAGGGTAGGATTTTGGATGCCATAAAGCTCTAATGTTTTATTTTCATCTATTTCTCATACTTCCTCAAACACGTTTAGATGAAATCATTCTTCCTGAGGAGGGTGTGGGAATATTCACTTTGATCCCGAATACCATTCCCCAGGGTTTGATAATATCTTGAGTATGAGGTTGTAGGGCAGGCAGCACCCAACCAATGTATTTCTCAAGGCCAACTAGCAGGTCCCACACAAGATTTATACCTGTTTATGATACGAATCCATAAATGAACTGTGATATTAACAATTATAAAGAATAAAAAAATAAAAATACCCACCAAACCAAGAAAACTGCACTTTGAATCTTTTCAAACTGTGGTTGTCAGTGAGAGCGCTCCTGCTTTCACTGCAGTCAGGAACATGAGCCCTTGTGATTCTAACAATGCCAGAAACTCCCCTACAAGCAGGGCCGACTCATGCACTAGCTCAGATACTAAATGTTTCAAGATCTTAGTCTTGACCTTATTCATATCTTATTAAAGATATATTAAAATTGTCAGAAATAAATATGTATTTTTTCATTTGAAAATAAAAAAGGTCAGTACCTAATATTTGCTAGGAAATAGAAACTCTTTGTATTTAAAAAAAACTACTGAAGTAATTAAGAATAACTCGAAACAAATTATTTTTCGAAACCTCAAAAAACCTCATATTTTCAAAGGATGTAATTATGTTTTAGTGCTTAGGTATAGCAAAAAATCTGTCAGATTTCGATCAACGATAAACAAATATTGAAAATCAACATTTTGTTCTCTCAACCCTGACTTTCCAGGGACAGAAATAAACATTAAGTACCTGTGTAAAGAAGTTCTGGGAAACAACTGCCTTACCTTGTGAGTCCATGGTAGGAGGAGATAACTTTGGATATCCTACAAAGGAAAAGCAGAATGTGTGACACCCTAGGTAACAGAGTTCACTGTGACAAAGTATCACTGCAGTCTTCCAAAAATCATCCTTTGTTACTGAACAGCAATCTACCAAAATAGCTACCAAACAGCACCTCCTACAAAGTGTTCAATTATTGTTAAACTGGGGTGGTCATGCCAAAGAAAACTAAATTCTTACTACAGTGTACTACATCCACTGGCAAGCATCATGGCAAGAAAAAAATAATTTAAGTTTCCCTAGTGGCAAAGACTGTAGTAGTTACCAAGGACTTTACCTCAGCCCTGTTGACCTCACGCTTTGTGCAGCCTTGGCAAAGGCAACAAAACTGGCACTCAATGTGTTTCCCCTACTTCCGTAGCCAGCTGGAGGCTGCAAAGGCCCATGTGCAAATCCCCTCTGCCGTAACGTTCCCAACGGCAATAGCCGTAACAGGCGTCCAGGAAAGGCTGAAAGGTGGCTGGGAAAGTGCAACAGATCTCAGTGTCACACCTCCAGCAAGACCTAGTGTATCCAGGGCACTCAGACAGGAGCAATTCACTAGCAGTTTGATTCTCTCACCTGGTGCTCCAGCATACCCTTCAGCAATGGGCATGGTACTTTGACCAGCCTGACCATCCACACTCCTAAGCCGCCCTCTTCCTGACATTAAAACAGTGCCAGGAGGCCCTGCCTCTCCAGTCTCCAGGATGATCCCAGTTGTTCCAGGCAGAAACGGCACAACTCCTGACCCTGGCAGTGCCGGGCGTGGAAGAGGTCTCGGCTGCAGTGGCTGGAGGGGGGTCCTCTGTCGCGGGGGTTGTATCCTTGGCCTTGATGGCAGCAGCGGAATGCCAGGTTGGGGCTGCAGGGGAATGCCAGGTTGGGGCTGCAGAGGTGGTCTTGGTGGCAACGGCTGCCATGGTACTTCCGATTGTCCTTTGAAATGATGAAAGAAAGGAAAGATACAGAATTATTCACTTAAAATAGTACAGAAAATTGCGTATTTTTATAAAAAAAACCCCAACTTTAAAATAAACCAGGACTCAACCTGAGGCCACCTTTCCCCTCAGACCCAAGACTGCACATAAGCAAAACTGCATTCCACTCTTGCAGTACTACAGACTCTCCTCTTTCCCAGCCTGTGACACAGGGAGAGGAGTGAAGACAGCCTGGAGACAGGACAAGCGGCAGCCAAAATAACCTGTGAACAGTCACTTGCTACTCCAGCTTTGACTTTCTGCACTGAGTGGGCTGTGTATCACACCTATTCCCACCGGTGCCTTCATCTCCATCGCTTGCTCTTTCTCTACCTTCTCTTCAGTTCTCCTGAACCCCTCCTGCCCATCACTCCTGCTTTCAACTCTGTACTCACACAACACCTAGCACAGGGCAGTCTTGTTCTTACCTGACCCTTTAGTACTACCATAAAGAAAAAAAAAAAAGTAAAAAAACTTGAGTATATGAACACCACCTTACAGACTTTTTTCCCTACTTTGAAAAGCAACAACTTTAAAATTCCAAGTACTCCCATTACTAATATTTTCTGACAACGAAGGCAGAACCCTCAAACATAATCTACCAGAAAAGCTTTTATTGTTTAAAGGGAAGAGATACCATTAAAAGACTTTTCCAGCAGGGCAGCCAACACATATGACATCAGAGTTGAACAGCACTGACACGGTTATATTTGTGTATCTGGTCCAGTTCTAAGCCCTTTATAGGAATTACGGCTTATTCATAAAAATGAAGTCCTAGATGACATTTAAGGATGCAGTGTCCTCCTAAGAATCAAGTTGAATTATATCTACGCTAAGAACAGGAATTTACAAATGTGTAGATTTTAGCAGATGCAATGAATGACAGCTTTTACACAGAATAATGAGAATGTCATTCTAAATTAAATATTAGCATTGGTTATTTCAGTTGCATTTTGAGACTAAAGCATGGCTTTAGACGCAGGGATGAAAGCGAGCTTCTGGGGAAAAGGACAAACATCCCCCTGCAAATTTATCTCACGCAACTCATCACACCACGATGCTTGCCATGGTCCACAATGGACACTAGTGCTCTGAGGTCTCAGTGGTCAGAACGAAGCACTTCAATTCACCACAGTCCAAAATCAGCCCGGGTAAATTCGTGAGTGGCTAGAGAGAAACCGAACGGCTGTGCCCAGAAGCAGACCTGGTGTGAGGCTTCTCCTGGCTCTGCTGCACAGCTGGGGACCCGAGAAGAGGCTTACGCTGAGCCTTTGGGCAAGAGGTTACAACCAAGTCACGCAGGCCTGTGACGCAGGGCCGGGGTCCAGATGGTGTCACTGGCAACCCACGTGCCGTGTCGTGACAACTCAACACCTGCACTTTACCCTTGCGAATATCGTTTCTTGTTTTCACTCTCGTAAGTCCACATAAGCCTTCCAGAGTACTGGGAGGCTGTCTCAAGTCACGGTCTCGCACCACCTGCATTCATTTCCTAGATATGCCTGCTAGAAAAACATTTTCCTGAGCTTTGCTGGCTGACTTTAACTGTCACGAGAATTGAAACTTATACAAGCAATGCGCCACAAAGCTGGACTGAAGCTCGCTCGGTAACTGTCCACAAGGCAGAGGACTAAGAAGTGAAATGTCCACTTTATACAGATCAAATTATCTTCGTAAAAATTCCAGGATTAAAAAATCTAACAAAAATTTTCAAAAAAAGGCTTAGAGTATCAAAGTGAATTGTAGTTATCTTAGTGAAACATCTTCTGTCCACAGTGGCACAGATTTAGACCTTCGACTAAGATCTTCAGATTAACCTAATTCAAAATACAAATTGACAAAATACTTTACCTTGGCATGCACGTACTTGTCATTTCTCTAGTCAATTAAGCTGAGCTTTATTAAGACAATGACTTGGGCTGACACAGGGGAAATGAATAAATTTCTCTGCTTGCTTTTCTAAATCTTTAAGTAACAATTAACGGCTCAAATGCCGTATCCTGTGCAAACTGCTTTTTTGCATGCAACATCAATACTGCAATATTCAGAATGATCCAACTACATCTCCATAAAGCTAAATCCAAAATTACCTGTCTAAAGTTCACCTAAAGTGCCAGTAATCAGATATGCGTGAGCTGAAAGGGATCTGGTCTGCCATCTTTGCCAACCTTTTTGGCCTCTTGCACTGAGATGCACCATAGCAAGACAAAGTACCAATAAATCACTAGATAAAAGACAGTAACACCAGCGTCAGCCTATCCTGACGTTGACTTCCTTAACACGGGTTTTCCATTCAAAAGGCAATGAGAAAATAAACCCCCGATGAAGGCTGAGGTGAATCTAGCTGGACCTGCTTAAGCTTTGCTGAGCAGTGGCCAGAACAGAAATCTTCTCCCATCATGTTCCCATCTACCTGGGAAGGCAAAGAGCAGAGCTGAGATGATGACACAGCAGAGAGCAGTTAACACTGTCCTCAGCAGCAGAGTCCTTGCTGCTCCGGTTGTCATTACTGGTCTAAGTGACAAGTCGGTTACCATGTCACACAACAGCTTCTGCTCTCAGGTGCCCCTCTGCAACAGAAACAGAAGGGAAAGTCTCCCTCCTCAGTTGAAAACGAATGCTTTTATTCCCATCACCCTCTTAAAAATATTTTATTTTATTCAGTTTGCTCAGCCAGGCAGCTTTAACCTGCAAATTTGTTTCACTGAAGGAGGAATGATTTGCTGGGAAGGAAGACAAGCAGCAACCTGGATGTATGAGGCAGGTGGATCTTTGAGGTGTAGCTGTTTCTAGTGTCGTTCTGCCCCGAGCATGCTTCCCAAAACACGCAGAAACAAAGTGCTTAAAACAGACTAGCAAGTAAAGGAATCTGTGACTGCACTAACAAGAAGCCGAAAGACCTGACTTGTATTTTCTTATAGATACCAAAGGGATTTGGCAATGAAAATTGCACAAGCTCACAGGGAGCCTAGAGAAATGAACTACATGACTATTTCGCTCTACAACACTAAGACTTTACGTTGCCCTTTATCGATGCAGTAATGCAGAGTGTACATATGGTTTCTTAGACTGTAACTTCAGCAGACAACATTTTGCTGTTGCTTTCAAAACCCTGCTACGGAGACAACTACCAGGGGAATTGCAGTTCAGGTCAAATAACCGTAACCAAAGCAAACTGCACTCCCAGCACAGTATCTGGCTGCAAGACCACACTTTTGATCCCTGGAAAACTTCATCAATCTGTATGAGTAGGCAGCAAGTTAAAAGAGAGCACTAACTTTAACACTACTTTCAGTTTCGTGCCATTTGAAGAGCAAACGTACCTGCAGAGATGCACAGAGCGCAATGGGAGCAACAAATTACCCTACGAGACGTGGAGCTGGGGGCAGATGCCATTTTAAGGTGGACGAAATGCTGCTGGATGACGTTAACTTGGCGAGTACATTGTGCGTGGTCACCTGTGCACTTAGAACAGTCCACCACCCACTGCCTTGTGTATGGCTAACGGCGGGAAGATGTGTTACCTTCACCAGAAATTATAACTAATAAAATATGCGTTTGGCCTCTGGGTCTGTATCTGATATACAGTCATGCACTAACCTGGCTTGTTAGTTTGGGCTGAGGCACTTGAAAACCCTTAATAAAAAATTTGGAAGAAAACGCACCCATATTCCTCAGATCAGGGTCATTTGACTTTGCTCAGGTTTACAGTGCACCAGGCTTACACTGCTCGGTAAGATTTTATATTGTATTTCTTGCAACTTATCCTGGTCTTACTGCCCTCAACACCGGTCACTAGTAACAACTTGTTTCTGGTTTGGCCCTTCCTAAGTCAATGACATCCTTTGAATGCTACGATACGCTGGCAAATAGCACGTAAGAAATTCTACACCGATCTACGGCCAGGAATGAAAGTCTTCTTTTCAAAGGATGTCGGTATCAGAGATGAAGCTGCAGATCACAGACATAAAAACAGTTAAAGCCATACCCAATCCACATTACAGGGTTCCCGAACTATTTCCAAAACAGGCTCTTTTGCCAAAATCTTTCTGCAGCTCCAGCCATCAAAACCTAGTCGGGCTGCTGCACCAGACAGCATTATTATAATTGGAAACATTTGGGGATTGAAGTGTGTGCTTCATGAACCCTTCAGAGGCCAGGGGCACTCCTCGGCAGCGAGGGCCGCTCAGAGTGCCTGTACCCCGGATCCAGCAGCAGCGTCCCTTCCAAGGCTTTGACGCCCAATGGTGGATGGAGAGCTCTGCCCTGAACCAGCATTACGTTATGGAAAACCAGGCGTGCTGAGGCTTTGTAATAGAGGCTGATAAATATGACCCATGAGGCTGCTCGAACACCTGCTTTAAACAGCAGAAGGAAGATTACTGTGTGTATCTTGGACCCTTCTCCAATGTTGGTCCCTAGTGCAAATTTATTTTGGGCAAGACAGATGAGAAATAGGATTACCTAAACACATCATACTGCTTTTTAATGGGGACTAGGTTTGCTTCTGAAAGATCTAGGGATGAAGGTCCTAACTCCGTCAAATTTAAGTCAAGACTTCACCAAAAGAATTAGACTCCTCCATTCCCTCTCACTTCTTCCTTTAAAGGAAGAAAAACCTATTTTTTTTAATTTCACACAAGAGCTTCTCACTTCAGAGGATTTTTGTGTCAAGTACTGTAATACATTTGGTTTTCAATGATAAAACACTCAAAAGACACGCATCAATCACAGGTTTTCAAGTCTCCACCTTGGAGTGAGAAGGATATTCTTTCCCCACAGAGATTACTTCCAGACCCTTCATGAAGCACGAGTTGTCCATTCAAGCAAGAGTGCTCACAGTCCTGCAGCTGATCTCCCCCAACCACCATGAGCTGCAACAGCCCACAGGCTCTTCCCTCAGCACCTCTTCTTCTGATTTAGGGCCAGTCACAGAAATTGGACTCTTATTTATCTCACACGTACACAGAATTAAATCCAGAAGCATCAAACAACTGAAGAGCGCAATTTCAAAACAGCCTCCAATTCCTACATTTTTGCGTCATGCTAACAGAAACAGGAACTCAGCTTCCTTCTGTAAACAACCCATTGCTGAAATGTGGAGCAAGAACTGCAGAGGGAACTGAGTGGCATTTT